TTTCCTTAAACTCTCTGTTAAGATTTTCATCTAAGGATCATAGTAAGCTTTTATCAAGGTTACAATAACGTGTCGTATAAATCACAGAGTGGAGTTCCAGATCTAGAGTATTTAATAATGATAACTGTTATAATTATTTTTAACATAAATCCATTGATCAGGGATCAAATGATTTTTAATTATATATCTCTAACATTGTTTGAATATTCAGCACTATAATTACTAACTTTGACACATTATTTCATAATATTACTTTACACATACAGAACTAAAACAGTGTGTCAAATACTAACAAGTCATTTTACATGAATAGATTTCATTAAACCATCTTACAGTATACTAAACTATATTATTCTCATTTTAGGGGCAAAAAAATCTCAGAAGGAAAAACATTGAAACAAAGATTTTGTAAACTGCAAAAGTAGGGATTGAAGGTTGGGAAGGGGCATGATAAAAAAAGAATTAAGAAATACCATGGAAAACTAAAGTTAAAATAAAAATATGTTAACTTTAATATATTTAATATATAGTTAATATATTTAATATATAGTTAATATAAAAAATAAAGTTAACATAATCATTAGGACTTTGTAACTAGGCAAGTTATAAAAGATTACTCAAAGTCACGAATATATATAGCCTTAAAATAGTATACATTTTCTACTATGCTATATTATTTTCCATTCCATGTAGTTATTTCATTAACTCAGAAAACATATATAATAATCTTGGCATTCCACTTTATTCTGTTGCAAGAAATTCAAAGTTCAAATATTTTAAATAATTTGTCCAATATTATTGAGAAAATGGAACATGTTGAATTTGAGCCCAGGTCTTCTGATGATAATTTTACTCTTTCACTATTTTATTACAAATGATTTATGATATATTCTTGGGAGGAGGATCAAATGTTCCAAATCAAAAGACTGGAAGGTAGGCAGATGTGTTAATCAAGAGGAGTAATTACTGTTTCTTTAATTTTGATGAATAGCAACAAACTATCTATTATTAGAAGATTCCAGGAGAAATAATTACATTATGGAATTAGAGATTTATGTGAAAAACATGTAAAGCATATGACATTCCACAAAACCCTTCTCACAAAGAAAAAAGAAGAGCTGCTCTTTCTTGAGCTGTTGCCATGGTTACCTAAAACCCATGACTCTCTGCTGAAATGTGACTTTTTTCTTCCCACTGTTCACTCCCATGTGATGTGCCTTTCACCTGATGAGTGAATTCCCTAGCCACTGTCACTCATGTCTGTCATCCAGGAAATGTTTTTCTCTCTTCATTTTTATTTATCATCATAAGCTTCCCTGAAATATCTTTTCTTTTTTAAACTAGCTTACTGGTTGCATAACAATAGACCTATTTATATTATACACTTTACATTTTACTTAAATGTTATTAAACAAACAAATTTCTTGAAAAATAATAGCACTTTCTGATTAATGTCAATCATGCTTCTATTTTAAATGCTTCGGACATTACAGAAATGATTAAACAGTTGGACCAAAAAGACATGAATCATGAATATAAGCTTTCTAAGAAAACTAAAATTAATTGCTCTATTTTTGAAAGTGCTATTTTATTTTTTAGAAATCCTGCCAGGTAAATATTATCAATCTCATTTAAATAACCCTCAAATGTTTGTGATCTTTATTTCGATGTTTTTTTGATGTGTATATGCATGCATTCATATAGCTGATCAGAAAGAGCTACACAAAACTTATTATCCCAGAATTTGACTAGTGGTTGTTTATTGCCACTGTTATTTTTTTGAACTAAAATTCCAGTGCTTTAAATAATGATATAAAATCTTTAGAGCCATCTATGTGCATTTTAATTTTTAAATCTATGTTAGCATCAAAGTGAATATGTCTCTGATTTTGTTCACTTTAAATATATTAATAAATCCTAATCCATGTCCTGTACTCTGTGTCTACAAAATATTTACAAATGTTCTCTACCCTCGAACTTCTGACAGTCTGCTGGAGCTCTAGATTTGCAAATCATCACATATATGAAAAAGTTACAGGTGGTCCCCGGTAAAGTTTCACAAAGTAAAGTAGTGGTCAAGGGAAAGGAGAGAATTTTGTTCTAAGTAATGTAGGTGGATCATTAGAAATTTAATAGAATACTTGCATTACAGTATAAATGCATATTTGTTCTCATGTTGTATGGACCACATGAATTTTAAGGCAGTTAAACTGGTGGCATGTCAAATTACATTTCCATGAATTAGTAATTTAATTATTTCTGAGTCTAAACAACACTGATTGATGTAAACAACAAGAGTCAGAACCACCTGGTTTTCATCTTCAGATATATGACTTTGGAAAAATCATCTATTTTACACCTTTCTGTCCTTTTAAAAATTTTTATTTTTAAATAAAATGTAGTCACTACATTGAGTATCACTGAGGGTTCTCAGTTTATACTTAATGATATCAAATCTGTGAAAACTCCTTGTGAATAGATACTGAAAAGGCAACCAAATATGGATGCTTTATATGAAAGAAGTCATCAGTCTAACTAAGTGGAAAGGTATTAATGAACCAATTTAGTTAAGAAGCAGTTTGATTTCATCTTACATACGATGGTCTCATTGTTAATTTGAGCATTCAATTTAGGCAAAGCTTTCAAATTAATGATATGTTTCCTACAGAAACTGCATTTTTATAAAGGAGAAGTAAAAAGATATCTAAACAATTTCCATATTAATTACATTAGGGGCCCTCAGTGCTGGCTCCACGTTAGAATTACACTTTAGAGGTTTTAAAGATACAGGCATGGAAGCTTCACAGCAGACCACCAGAAGTTAGACTAGTGAAGCACACACAACTGTTTTTGAGTATATTTTGTAAGCTTCCTGATTTTTATACTGAGAACTATTGAAAAAAAAAACATGAACAACCAATTTTAATTTTGGAAGAGCTCTAACCAAAGTAGTGAATAAGTGGAAACTGCCAATGAGAGCTGGGTGTTGCTGTTGCATCTGCCATTGATTATTCTTTGACACTTGCATAGTAGGTGAATAGTAAATAATCCTTGATGCAATATTTTTTATTTAAACTGTTCTTTGTTTCTTTTTCTCCAAAGCATTCCCTTCACCTTGTCTCCTTATTTTATTTACAAAACCTATTTTTTACAGAGCACTTTAATCACAGAACAAAGTTGATGTTAATATTGTAACAATTTCAGTCTAGTGCTACCCAATTGTACCTAACAAGTTGTCTTTAGGAAGTAATAAAATTAACCATGATCACAAAGAAAAAAATGTAAAAAATAGTTCAACAATAAATATATAATAAGGAAAGAACCTGAATATAATGTCCCCTGGTAACATCAGCTCATCTCTCTACTAGGCTTTAGTGTGTGTGATATATCATTTATTTATTTGCTTTTTATAATTCAGATAAACCAGCAGCTTTTTGGGGTCAAGTAAAGCTATATATTTAAAGAAAGCATTGTAACTGACTGAAAATTCTATTTTCAAGCTTGACAGTATCTTAATCTGAAACATAAAATATAAGAATGAGATCAGAGTTTTAGTAAGGTAGAAAGTCTGAAGACTTCTTGGGACATTTTTTAAAAGTACATTTTCCAGTCTTTTCTGTAAAATATACTCATTACTCTTGGTAAATGGCTGACATTGATCACGGTAGAAATTAGTGGCCATTTTTCAGTGGCCTTAGATAGGCTTTAATATGAAACTACAAGTGGCCTTAGATAGGCTTTAATAAACTGCAAAGTGTGAGGCAAGTGTAAGCAAGATTATTCACATCCTACTCAAATATTGGTTGTAATTCCATAATGTATTCCTGGTCAGAAGTACTGAATTTGAAAGTTTCAGAAGACAGGAAGAGAATATATCTTCTAATTGAATTGATTTGAAGTGATAAATAATGAAACATGTATTTCTTTAGTTAACTTTTGCATCTAATTCAGACTGAGAAATAGAAACAGATGTCTTATGCTCGTGTACTAATTATTTAAAATGAATAAAATCACTATGTGCTATAAGATATACAAATAAATATTCACAATGAAAAATACAAATGAGAGAAAGATTTAGTTTGAAAGCAATTCTTTTTATTGCATTTGAATTCTGCAAATATTTAAGACAGAAGCTTATTTCTTCAATAGCCTAATTTAAAAAAGAGCCAAATCTTTTGGCTGAAGACATCATGATAGTCAAACACTTGAAAATCATATAGGAAGACTGGAATAAATATTGTCTTTGCTATTTATAACTGGTGTGATTATAAAACAAATTACTTAATACCTGCATGTATTTGAAATGGAGACAGACTGATATTAAATTAGTGCTAAATGAGCTAATACAAAAACACAAAAATTCTTGTAACCAGATTTTGTATACATATTTATAATTCTTAATGAATTATAAATTATAAACAAGTTGTTGCATTGTTTATAATTTGAGCTGCTAAATCCTTATAGATTTTTTAAAAATGAAAATTTATTCTAGTCATCACTCATTAAAATTCTTAAGGTAATAATTACTTTAAAAATTTAGTAAATTATGTTTTCCCATGAAACTTCAATAAAGATTCTATTCATTAGATTTGGGTCAGGGATTTTTATGCTTATTTTTATATCCTATGAATTTTATTGTAGGTAACAATTTTATTATTCAGAAATATTTCCTAGGTAATTTATTTACCTACCTAGATAAGCATTCATTTTTTCATTCACAAATACTTTCTGAATCATTGCCATGTGCCAGGTACCATTCTAAGTGCTGGAAATACAATGGTGAATTGAGCACTGTTTTTGGTGCTTAGAAATCTCATAGAAGAGGTGATTATGGAGCAAATAATCCCACAATTATCTATTTACTTATAACTATGAGGTGCTCTGTAAGGACAGATACAAGGCACATTAAGGACTCTCAGTAGGATACATGGGGTAGAGACCTGCCTGAAGAAGTGAGTGCTAAAGTCACTGTCTTACGCTCTCCATCCAGCATGTCTTACCTGCCAAGAGGAGAAGAATGATGCAGGGCTGAGCAGGTTAGGGTTTGTAGGGTGGCGACCTCCCATGTACTCATCTGTGCAAATCTCACAGTTTTCCGCGTCCCTCCAGCCCCAGTATGGAATAGTGAAGTTCTCATCCCCGGTAAGCTGCCGGATTTCTTCTTCCCACAGCAGCAAGAAGAGTCTGTGCCAAGGCAGGAAACCTGGTGCTTCGTGAGCGAAATCAATATCTTTCCAGATTTCAGATCCCCCGAGCAATGTATCTCTTGACACATAGTAATGCATCCAGACAAAGAGGTTATAAATGCTGACATCATTAAACATGGGAGTTGATCCATTCTTCATTTGGCCATATGTGCCGGTGGGAATGACATAGTTTGCACTGATGGTATGTTTTGCTAAAGTCAGGTAAGCAAGGAATTTATCCTTCTCTGGGACACTCAAATCAAAGATGTTTCTTCTCACCAAGATTCGTTTCTGTGTACAGTTTGGTCCCCAGTATCCAAACTTGCAATTTCCACAGCTGAATCCCATGAAGTTGCCAGAGCACTGGCAAGTTCTGTTATAAAAGACAGAGGGCCAAGATTCCCTATCATCCACCCCTGTGAAGGGGAACTGAGGCCCAAATGGTGCACTGGACAAAAAGATGTCCTGACAGGAACCTCTGCCTGAAAGCTGGCCACAGGGACTTCCGTCCCCTATCCATGGTGGGCAGCATTCCTTCTCTATCAGGTTCTGAGAAGATGCACAGGCTCGAGGAAAATGGCCAGCAGAGATCTGGAAATGCCACAGCACACAGAGCAGAACAGCCAGGAGCATTTTTTCACTAATGCTTCCAAACTCTGTTTGAGCAGGTTAATTGGAGTCGCTGACTTCTTTTTCTACAACCCCTATAGTGATGATCACATGTCTTGGCTAAGATCCATGTAACAACACCACTCCAGCCCCTAATGTCAGATATTCTGTCTTTATCTTAAGCTTTCATCTTGTGGAAAGCACATGACTAGCTTCTTTGGCATTGGCATGCATCCCATAGTGGGATTGGTCTCTGCTATAGTGAGAAAAACTATGCACAATTAATAGTTTAATTCTTACAGTTACTATGATACTAATGTTTAATAGTAATTACTCGATCTAAACCAACTCAGTTCATTAATTATAAAATTAATGATAATTTAAATTTGGGAAATAAGATAGATCACTTTGGTAACTTGTTAGTCTGCTTCACTGTGGGAACTTATCCACTAAAAGTTTTAAAAAGGATCTCTCTCTCTGTGTCTCACTGCAGTTATATTATTTCACCCAGAAATACTGGAATCATGAATTTATTTTATAGTTTTGCAATACTATACTTGCAAAAGGATTCTCAGCCTAGTGAGGGAACAAATAAAATATATTTTTTGATAATCTCAATTTTTCTAGGAGTTATTTCTCTATATAGAGTGAACTAAAACAATTTCAAATACATGGCAAAATATGCTATAAATGTTTCTTTTAAATCAAATAGTATAACTAAACATCAAACTTTTAATGAAAGAATATTTTTATGAACTGAGACTATTGGAAAAGTTTGAGCCAATAGTATGTGGATGTTATTAATGGAGCACTTCTGAGGAACAATCTTAAAGATGCATATAAATTGGAAAGTCAAAGAAGAAAGGAGATAATCCTCAAGGCAGGGAAACTGTAGAGATGGGAACTATGTTTCATCTCTTGAATTGAATAATATTAGGTAGTTCCCCAGTATTACAGAAAAGTGAATATGATACCAATTCATAGAGAAATTTGAGGACTTAGTAAGTGGCTTGAATTCAGGTGAGTGATTTTCTGACCTGAAGAGTGATAAAATGAGAAAAATCAAAGCACAGTGGCCCCTTTAAGGTTTCCGTCCTTGTGCTGCTCCACACTTAAGCCTATGTGACCCTCTCAAATTAAAGAACAAGTGAAATAAAGTAAAAATTTGAGGAAAACATCAATTTTTGACTGCACTCAGATGGTTTCTAAGGAAAGCCATGACTTTCTTAGTGATGCTGGAATGTCAGTCTGCTTGCTTTTTTCTCTTTTTTGCTAAAACGTTTCTCATTACAGAAAAATGTGGAGCTCCTCCATAGGACTCTTTTGAGACTTAAGACAGCCTTTGCCAGTGGGGTGGATACAGCAATGTGTGGGTGCAGAGGAAGAGAAGAGAAGTTTCCATGGAAATGCTGCCTCCGGCAGGGATCAGGAAGTCACCACATGATCTGCTTACCCCTTTATTTCTCCGGTTCTTTCAGAGCCAAAAAATAGATTAAGAGAGGATTTCTTGTTCCTGGGGAGTCTTGGTTCTGTATTACTTATAACCGCATGTGACTTTTTGTAATTCTTTTCCATCTAGTTGCAGACAGAATACAATTTCTCATGTTCAATTTAATTAAGAACTTTGCCTTTTACTTACCACTATCGGACCTCCCGGGGGAAACAACTTAGAAAGTCTCCATCTCAGGAATTCCTTCTTAGAATTTTGTGTCTGCTCTCTCAAGTCTATTTTTATAATCTTTGAAAGTTTGTTAAAGAAATGACTAAGATGCATTTTGCCCTCTTCATTTTCTTCAGTTTGATGTCCTTAAATTGACTCTTCTCTTTATTCCTCTGCTATATAGGCCACTATCTGTTCTGACTACATATATAACATCTTATTGCCGGTACCCAGTCCCAAGGTACACTTAGACTGATCTCTTCTGGACTGCAGGTGTATATTCTTTAGGTATTTCCAGGTTTAGGATTCAAAAGTATCCTATCCGTCACTGGACCATCATTGTAGCATGGAGCCAGTGCCATATTCTATTAATTAGGACTGGAAACTCAGTATATACTATGCAGGTATTTACTGAGCATCGACTATCGAACATGCTGAGAGATACAAGCTATGGTAAATATAGGATGTGGCCTTTTGAGTTAATATTACTGAAGGATTTTTGCCCTAGAATAAATTACAGGACATTACGGCAGTATTCTAACATGTCAGAAGGCCAAATTGGAAATGCTTAGCCTGATGGCCACTTCCTCCTTCTTCTCCTTCAACCAATTACAACTTCCTCCTTACTTTCCACATGCATGAAAAGAAATTTTCATTCCATTCCTCATGCATCATAAATGTCTACTCCCAGTGCCACATTCAGTCACAAGGTCACATATATCCTCCACCACCATATTCAGTCGAAGGGGATAGCCCAACTGTCACAGGTTGTGTGTTCCTTTCTGCATCCTCCTTAATGTGTTCTTTTCTTTCTTTATTTTTCTCTTCTTATTGCATCACAAAACACTAACAATTTCAATTTAATTTGTAATATTATTACAGTTTATATACTTTAAATGACATTTTTTCTGGATCAAATGACTTTAAAGTTTCTATAAAACAAAACAAAATAAAATAAAATGTTAAAATAACAAAGACTACTAAGAAATATGGCTGTGGGATCCGTTTAGTCTCATGAAGGATAGTCCAAAAAGGTTTATTTTAGGAGAAATGACATTTCAAAGACCAATCTAAGGATTGGTAATTGTATGTTGGGTAAAGAGAACAGTGAAAATGCGAACTTTCCAGGCAGCCCTAGAGACTGCTATTCAAGGCTCCAAGTCAAAGTGGGACAGCACACTCAAAGATCCTGAGTGTGTAGGGTGATATTGTTGCAGAATTCAAGATTCCAGGTAGACTATGGGAAAAACAGGAGGATTTATTTAGATGTGCACCTGACACACAAGAGTCATTTCCAAAAGGCTGAACAAAGGAAGAATTTCCTGTTTCATACATTTGGTGGGTAAGGATTGGCATGAAACTAGAAATGGGGGTGTTAGTGAGGTTACAGAAGCAAGGCAAAGCAATTGTTTACTTAGCAACAAGTTTACAACTTAGTCTTCAGAGTAGATGAATTTCAGAAATTTCAGGATATCACAGGACTTTTTTTTAGAGGGATATACTTGTCAATCTTATCTGTATCTCCTAAAAGAAAGGAATTCCAGATATCATAAGGCTTGGTTAACAGGAACATAATTGTCTACATTATTAATATGAGTGCAAATGTTAGCTGATACAGTGGGGGAAGGAATTCTAGCAGCTGCTCAAGGGTAGGAGAAAAAAATTGATTTTTTTCTCTAAATTCTGCTTTAATGTAAATATGGAAATATATATATATATATATATATATATATATATATATATATACCAGATCATAATCTCCAAAGCAGTCTGAAACAGAGTTTTTATACAAAAATAGAGTTTGATTCATGTGGATTTAGGACATGTTACTCAAGCTGCTAAGATTAAAAACAAATGTAAAGGTGAGGGCTAGCTTAAATATAGAAATAACTGTAGGAAGATTACTGGAGTAAAACAGGTGAGAAGTGATTGCCTAGAGGAATGAATCTGGAAATGCATGTAAGTGATTGAATCTAAGAGACATATATGATAATTTCCAGAGGAGAAGAGGATAACAGGTGAAGAGGAAAGAGATTCAGGGTCAATTCTTAGGATTCTGTTTTTTTAAAATTTTATTTTAGGGCATGAGTCAAAGGCCTAAACATCAAACCCCATCCAGCCATGCAACCTTGGCACTTCACTTAGAACCAGGCGGGGTCCAACTCGGGTCCAATCAGCAGTGGACCTTCAAGTTACCTCAAGGTCTGGAGAATCACCTGGCTCAGTGATGTGAGCCAAAGCCTTGCACAGTGAACCCCATACAGGCATGCAAACTTGACATCTTGCTGGGAACCTGGTAAGGATCCAGCCAGTGCCACAATCAGTCACAAAATTTTAAGTAGGTTCCTCGGGGCCTGGTTGGGTCCCAAACAGTGACTCTGAGTGGCCAGGGAATTGCACATTGCTTGGAAACTGGTAGTTAAAATATTGAGGAGCACTGCAAAACACGGGAAAGGAAGCATATAGAACTCCAGTTAGTCATAACCAAAATAAATCTACACCCAGACATACAATAATCAACCTCCCAGGAATTCAGCATAAGAGTAGAATATTAAAAGTTGTAAGAGAAAAGAGGCAGGACGACTGTAAAGAAAAGTCCATCAGAATCATAGCAGACTTCTCAACACAAACAATGAAGTCAAGAAGAGCATGGGGTGATATTTTAAATCCTAAAGGAAAATGACTTCCAACCCAGACTGATGCGTCCTGCAAAATTGTCCTTCAAAACTGATGGAGAAAAAAGATACTTCCATGACAAAGAATAGTTGAAGAACTTCATGACCACAAAATTAAGACTACAAAGAATATGGGGAAATATTCTAGATAGACATAAAAATAACTACAACTTGAAGAACACCAAAAAAATAATAAAGTACTAAGCAAGACAAATAATAAATCAGAGGGAAAAGGTAAAGAACCAACAGCAGAAAGATAACAACAAAAATAAGCCAATATATATTAGTTATAACAATTAATGTAAATGGCCTCAATTCATCTATTAAAAGAAACAGACTGGAAGAATGGATCAAGAAACAACATTCAAACATATGCTATTTTTAAGAAACCTATGTGTGCTGAAAAGAAATTCATAGGCTGAAAGTCAAAGGATGAAAAACAATGCTTCATGCAACAGGAACCCCAAAGAAGAGGAAGGGTAGCTATTCTGCTTGCAGAAAATGTGAACTTCAAACTAAGAATGATTAAAAGAAGGTCACTACATACTACTTAGGGGAAAACTTCAATAGGAAGAGATAAAAATCTTAAATATATATACACCAAGTTCAGGAGCAACCAGCTCTATAAAAGAAATATTAATAGAAATGAAAAATCAGATAAGCAATAATGATTATGATGGGAAACCCTAACACCTCATTGACACAAAGAAATAGATCGGTGATATAGAAAATCAGCAAAGAAATAACAGAACTGAAACAAACATGTGAACAAATGTACTTAGTAAAACAGTACAGAGTGTTCCACTCAGTAATA